TAGGACAGCGTTGCTCATCTATTCTCGGTGCTTGATAGTAAAGAAATGGTAACCATAATATTGTAAAAGAAGCTTGATACAGTGAGCGCTCCTCAGTACAACAGTTGAGATTATGATGGTGAACAAGTGTGGCAAAAGGCTCAAAGGCGATATGGTCGATGGCATTTTTGAAATTTTGGTAATGTAAATTCAAAGTTGAAAAAAGGGGCATAATTCTGGTCAAAAATGCTTGAATAGACCTCCCTCCAGTTTCTAGTGAGGGCATGATCATGGTAACAAGTGTGCAATAGTTCAAAAGCCATATGTCAATGGACTTTGAGATGGTAACGCCGACGCTCTGGGCCGACTAGGAAGTTTCCTTAATGCGTCGAATAGTTGAGCTAAAAAAAGAAATGCCCTCATAATATATATTATTTCAAATTTCACTCAATAATATATATTATTGTATTTATATAGTATATTTTATTCATGAATTCATAATATCAGTCTATTGCAGAGAAGGTACTTACTGTAAACCGAGAAAAGCCTACCCAATTAAGATGTTCTATTGCAAATTAACATTTTAGCATTTTAATGTATATATTATATCCGTCATCAATAATGACAAAAACTCCAAATATGGTTCACTTGTAGATTATCATATGTTAAGAGCCAAATGCCTTAAAACAGAGAGCTGCATGTCTGACAGCACGCCTCGAATATTTAAAATCAACAGCCTGCATAATAAAGAAATTCTCTTATTCATGAAAGTAGAGTATAACTCTTTGAAATTAAAAAAATGTTAGAGGGAAGTAACCTACAATAATGATCTCAAAGATGTGTTTAGCTTCAAGTGCATTACCTCAATGGTTTGTGAATATTATAAATAGATATTCTTATTTCCTAATAAATGCTTAGCTTATGGGTCTTGAAACAGTGACCTACAAGAATAATCAAAAACACATTTGAAGACTAACAATGAAATGTTTATGGCTAAGTGAGAAAACAAACTTGCCAAAAAATCCTTAACAAAAGGCTAGCACAGAGGTCAACGCAAAAATACCGGACTTGCAAAGTCAGTCATCTAAATTCGTTCCTGTAAGTGTGTGCATTTAAACAAATAAAAGAGATATTCGCAACATTGAGACACACATGTCTCAACCACTTACCAATTAAATAAAATTGTTAATTCTTTGTTAATATATCACTATTATAATTAATAAAAACAAAAAAAGTACTTAATTTAAATTGACTCCCCGTTCGTAATACCCCACCCACTTTGTATATGAATTTAGATCAATAAAACACATTTATGGTGTAGTAGGGCAGGTTGTTTCCCTTTGTAATTAATGTTCTGATTTTTGACACTTATTGAATTAAGTTCTAAATGTTTATTTCACTTTTCTTTTGTAACAATGAAATTGTAGATTTGTTAATATTTTTATGAAAATAGTTGTGATACAACTTATCGAGTAAATTGTTAGCTATTAAAATTGTCAAGATAAAGAAGGTCTCGAGGTAATAGAACTTTAATAATTTTGTTTTAAGAAGTTATTCTTAATTTATATTTATGAAGCTAAAATGTTTTAGAGAATGATATGCTGATATATTGGTTGATTAGAAATAATTATTACTTTGGTATTTAAGGTTCAGATTTTATTGGCATCATTGGTAGCAAAGGTTACAAAGCCAAGCTACCGCCCTTCCCCTATCTAAATTCATTAGGTATTCATAAAAGTAAATTATTTAGTATTTCTTTATTAAAGTAAAAGTACAGTTTATCTGTTATCCATTACTCTGCATTGAAAGTTCTTTATATTAAATTTGATAGTTGTTATTGAATTTAATGTCTATACTTTGATAAATTGAAGTTTATATGTTAAATAAATAAAGACATTGCCGTATAGTATTTAATTTTGTATTAAAATCAGAACTGGAAACTTGGTGTTTTTGTCATTTCTTGCAGCAAATATCGGGGTAAAGGGACGAAGTGAGTCCAAGCTTTTAAGGCTCTATAAATCAGTAGCAAGTACAAAGGAGAGGAACTTGCGAAGCCAGGTTGTGATAATTTGCAACCTGTCGCCTCGGAAGTAGCCCTCTCCTGCTACAATGGCATAGTTTGCTTATTCTAACTTATTCTAAATATGTGTAGATATAGTTTTAAAGCTGTATTAAACGAAATCATGAATGTTATTCAGTTTAAACAAGAATAAAACTAATAAGTTACAATATTCAGAAAAGGACACCCAGTTTGCAACATACTTTTTCTTCTTTACTTAAAATTAGGCGATGAAAACTAGAAAAAAATCAATAAAGTCAAAATTTATAGCATAAGTAAGTTTGAAAATTTAAGAAATTTTATGGCCAATTTCAATTGATTTACAACAACTGAAAAAGGAAATAAGCCAACGTAAATAGTACTAGAATATTTAGATGATTTGGCGGCCATCTTTGACGCCATCTTGGATATCTTAGCTTCGCATCGGGTTGGGCAAAATGAATATCCATTCCAGAAACTACAGATCCAGACGAAACATTTGGTATATGAAACTTGCTGTTGCTGACATAGATCCCACTTACCCCCTCTAAATAGGCTATGTAAAATGGGCTGATTTGCAGCACTATCATTAGTGGATCATGTATATATGTATATATATATAATTAACAAAAAAAAAACAATTTACACAATACTAAAAAGCATGTGCACATATGTAATTAAGTAAGCACTATGAACCTATGACAATGTTGAGCTATCATTAGTATTCCATTAGACTATAAGACCTATAACTCCAGACCATGAACAGTAACTCCAATAATAAATAATAATTTTGACTAATAAATGATACACTGTTATTTAGAGAGGCTACAAATCATGAACTTATTGCTCAGATGAACAAGCAAATCATGGGCTAACAGAAACCAGTTACCAGTAAACTATAACTCAAGTGGCTCAAAACATTGAAATGATGTAAATGACCACTATACATTTACTTAAATTTCTGACAGTCTATTTTGCATAGCATCTATTTAACCATTCAATTGTTTTCTTATTAGCATCTAACTATTACATTTTCTCTGTGTGTGTGTGTGTGTATGTGTGCGTGTGCATGTGTGGAGGGGGTTGTTAGGGTTTACATTGCACCAACACAGTGTAGGTCAAATGGCAACTTTCTTGCTCTATTGGTGGAGGATGGAGGAAGACCTATGTACATTATTTCAGGCACAAACAGGCACCTGACTACAACCATCAATGTTCCGTAAGCTAGCTACATAGCTTTCTCATGTGTCATATCCAATGACGCTTGTTTGGCTCGAACCTACAGCGCTGAGAGACAAGTAGTATGAAGTCAATGACCTTAACTATTACATAATACCAATGAAGTCTGTGAGCTTTGTTCACTACTCTTATTGCAAAATGGCTTATTGAAGTAGCATGCCTCATTTAATTCATTATTTCAAAAAGTTTTTGACCTTTCTTTGCCATTTATTATAAATGTCAGACATGAAAAAAAACAACTATTTAGGATCAAAGAGTTGTGAATATTAATCAGCAAATTAGGAGCAATTATACATAAAAAGTAAAATAATTAAATAAATAATTACACCAAGTCTTCAGATAATTCTATGTGGGAAAATACAGAATTTCATGAACTTTCAAAGCATGAGAAACTTCCTTTTATATGAATATAATGGAAAATTATTTCCTTACATTCTGGATTACATAATTGGTTATTCAGAAAACAGTTATCTAATATCAGCTAGATTCATGCAATCATGCTACTTCACTTGCTTACATCCAAGACATGTGTAATGGCCTCAACCTCAAAATACTGCTAGCTGTTTGGTTGTTTAGTTTCTGGTGTAAAGTTAAAGCTGCAAGCCTCCAGATGAGCCAAAATACACCAAGAAAATCAATATTAGGAAAAATGCACTAAAATTTTAAGAAAAGTAAAAAACATTCAAGATCCACGTTATATTTTACATGTTTTATGCGGTTTAAGGCTGATTTTGCTGTATTTTATCACTATATTTCTACTGCATTACAAACGAGGATTGCAAATGCAGTAAGGGCTGTTTTTGTATATGTTGTCCACATTTTGGATTGCAAGTGAGATTGTAAGTGCCAACTGCAATATGTTAATTACTTTATTTCTTCACCTCACAATATTTTCCTTTTAAATACATTTCCAAAATGTTCATGAAAATAAACATGAATCTGGAGGCGTGATCCTTGACCTTTTAGGTTTTTATATCCTGTTTAGTTAGTATTTCATTTGAAATTCAAAGATTACTTAGTTTTCTAAAAAGTGAAATATTCCTGGAAAACTTAAATAACTTGATTACATCATTTAATTTGAATATTTTTATTTTCTTATAACAGATACAAATTTCTAAAGATGACAAAGCAAATGTTTAAACATTAATGATATGGTCACAAGTTGGCAAATGTCCATAGAAATCTAAAACATTAACAAACAAAATTATAGTACATTTCTACTTACATAGAAGTCAATATTTTTATTCAGTTGAAATTTTCATAAAATCCCAAAAAAAAAGATGTATTGATGTTAGAACAATACATTCAGAGCCATATTAATTAGGTACAGTATAACCTACACATTAGTAAATTAAATATTTATTTAAAACAGGTCAACAAGAAGCATTTAACACTGCCTCATTAACAAATTACACTGTATATAAAAGTCAATGAAATAATTGACCTAGCAGTTATCCTGAGAAATAAATAAAGATGAGCTCATATACAAACAAAATCCAACACATACAATATTACACTTGTAACTCACACTCAGTTCTTGTTAGATTTCAAACTATAGTTAACATTAAGTCTTAAATCTGTAATTATCACCCGTACAAGTCTTCATCGTGCAGGCATTTTATATAAATTTGTTGTAGACACATTTATACTGTAAGTATAGCCTATTGGTTATATCAGTAACTTCATCATTTACTTCACATGATTGGCACTTTAGGGGGCCCCTTCATGACAATATTTTACACATTTAATATCTAGTCTGGCTTCCCGTAAAAAATTCTTCTTCTTCTCCGGACTTAAACTTTGCCTCTGAAATGTACAGAATAATTATTTAGAAAACTTTTTTCTGTTTTACGTTGCACTAACAAACTATAAGTTATATGTAGACTTTCCAGCTTTACTGGTTGAATGCCCTTCAATGCATTATTTAAGGCATGAATGTGCATCTGTTACAGCCACTGATGTTCTGTAAGTTAGCTGGAAAGCTTTCTTTTAGTTTCTAACATGATAACATGAAAGATTCCACAATGTCCCTGTTAGGATTCAAACCCACATCCATGAGGGACAAGTGGTTTGAACTAAAATAAATATTTTTTGCTTATTAGTACTGCAAACTTTTACCAAAATATAATTCACACTGTGAGTGATATACTGAGTGATAAGGAAATGAAGTCCAGTATTTTACTAGTTGGCAGGTACATAAAGACATGTACATAACCTATTCCCTAACAATACTGGCAAATATTTGTTTATGACTGAACATGTATAGAGGAAAATATGAAAGAACCTTTCTTAAATTAGCATATTCATGAACCTTTTACAAGCAAAATCTAAATCATGACAATTTACATGAGTGTGTAACATTTTGTTATGATGAAGCTATTATATCAAATTGTTGGCTCATTGATCAAGTTTAATTGACAGACTTTTTTCTTTCAAATTCATTGTAAAATAAAATTTTGTAAGTCAATGTTTACTACAAGACATAGAATATCACAGTTACCTAATCTTTTAGAGTAAGCATCTAACTTATATGCTGCTTGTTCTAGTGAGGACACGCTGTCTTCAATTTGATCTATCTGGTCCAGGAATGGCTGCAAGTTAGTGTCTGTAAAAATCAAACATTTACAATCATTATTACAGTATATATGATCACAATTGTCTTAATTGTCAAAATCTAAAAAATAAATTTCAGTTTAAATATTATTTAAGAACAAACTATGAAGAATGATCTCTGTAAACATTATAATTATAATAGATTCTATTGAATACAATTAATTCCTTATAATAATAATCAACTAAATAGGTTCATATAAACTCCACAGTATAATAAGAAATTCATTACATTCTTTTTAATCTGTTATATAATTTTATCAAGATTTAGGTGCTCCACTTAGGTTTTTTGACATGAAGGAACTAAAGAAATAACTTTTTTTTGAATTTTTTAATACCATTTTATGTGGGTCTCTACCAATATCTTGTGTGCAAATTTTCAGCTCATTGGCCCCTCCTGTTTTTATGGTGCAAAATAACTTAAAAATGAAAAGCATTTTAATGCTTATAACTCAAATCTAGCTTAGATTGCACAAAATATTGATTTTCAATCTAATTCTTGTAAGTATTTCTTCATATTTTTGCCATTTTAAGTGCGCTAGTTGATCAATGTAAGATTTTATCCCAAATTTTATGTTCAGTATTTTCGACCTCAGTGGAGCTCTATTAATAAGCAAGCGTATATAAGAATGTTGTCTTACATTTTTCATTCAGAGTTTGTAGAGATGCCCCAATATCTTGTGCTGCGTGTTTCATTTCAGAATATTTTGATACAGTTACTTTGTTCATTGTTTCTAACAGCTTATAATCTTCAACTGTACCTGTAATGTAGAAATGTTGACACTTTAATAAATTTGACTACAATACTTACAATGTATGCTAAGCTGAAAAGCATTTTTTTTTTGCATTCGTCATTGAACATACGTGACTTTAAAATCACTTCACTGATATAAGAAATTGATCATAAACACAACAAGCATTGTGAAGTAACTAATGTAAAATAACTTGTGAATCCTGATATTAACTGATAAATATTTCATTATAAATACGAAAATTTACACTGAATATTAACATATAATGCACCAAGCAACTGTGATCAGCCCAGGTGAGTGTGGGGACAGATAGTGTAAAGAACAGTGATTTTACTTTCCATCTGTCCTTGCACTGCAGGGTTAATGTGACGTCAAAATAAGACGGAAAATACTATTTTGGTCATTATGGCAGTAATTTTGCAGAGATTTACCATCAGGTGGCTCCTGCAGGAAGGAGCTTTCTGAAGTTTCACTTAGGGTATGATAATCCAAAATAAAAGTCTTACTACTGGAGGGAGGTGGAGGGGGCATTGCAATTATTTCATGCATTGCATATATATGAACAATGATAACATAAAAATAATCAAATGATCATTTCCTTTTCATAACTATTAACTATAAAGTTAATACAGACAGAATGACAGACAAACACACAGATGAAAAAATTGAAATAACTCTTAATAATAATAATCTCCATATGGTTCTCTGTCCTCACCTATTATCAAAATGAACCTAAGAAAGTTGGTCAATTTTTATCTTAAAAGAAATTAATAAGTTTAATTCACATAGCATATATAAATTACCTTCTAATTCTCCCTTTAGATACTCTGCAGTTTTCTTAAATGTTTCTCTACATAATTCAACAACATCCTGTGGCGGTGGTTCATTCTGCTTCATCTGCACAGTGTCCCCTTCATAAAGAAATAGGAATTCATAAATTCATGAATATCTATTAATATGGAAAGGGAAGTGTTTGTTCTGTATTGCTTAACTGGGTACCATTACTCCTAGTTCATGAAGGGACTATCGATGAAATTTTTCAAAAGTTACAATGTAGTGAAGGTTAGAATGGTGGCATTTAACTCTTTAATGAGAATGTAAAGATTTCAGCTAAGTAAAAGAAACTAGTATAGACTGAACAACAAATTATACATGTCACAAAAAAGAAACAATTTATAACAACACAATACTCTTAATGTATTCCAATCAGAATTCTTGAACTCAACAAAATTTCTCTAAAATAGAGTTATGGATATCTCAGATATGGGATACCCACATAAACAGGACATCCAAAGGTGCAATCCAAACATTTGGGAATTCTACACAGAAATATATTTAGGTCAAATCACAATCAAATAGTCATTATAAGCAGCTGATTATAAGTCAGATCCCAGCTTGAATACACTTCCAAAATATAGTCTACCTTCACCTAAACACAAACAGATAAAATTGATGGCAAGGTCTCTTATACAGGCAAACTCCACTCCCTAGATCTAGACTAGAACACAGATGTACACTTGCATGGTTATCCCTTTCCTACGAGACTAATATGGTCATCCCCTGAGCTACAGCTGGGTTATTTACAGCAACTGCAGAATTATGTTGTTTTCGTCAAACTACCAGTTCGGCGAACTTAATTTATGAAGAGGTGCCAAAGTGGTTTCGTCGATCTTATGTTATATAGTAATTAAAGGCAAATTAGACATGGTTCATATATATATAAAGTGTTTTTATCATCATCATCAATATTTTGTTGTTATGAAATTATGATGCAAATGCCATTAATGAATATAATATATTGTACAAGTATGTTTATATATAAATATACTTATTTTGATAATGATCTGTTCGTTATTTGATTAATTAGTTTTGAGAAAAAAATATTATTTTATATGCCCGCATCCATGTAGCCTTATTCGATGCCTGGGACAAGTACAAAGATGATGAAATGACTACTTCCCAACTACTGAGATTATGTAGCCACATTTCAGGAATAGAATCCAACAACTTCAAAAACGGGATTTATGAGGACAATTTTTCAGTTTTACATAGAGTGATGAATGAAACACATACTATTGTTGTTTATTACGTAAAAATCATGGTGTATTCTCTTTAATACTATGCATGTGCCAATTGTTTATATAGAGATGAATAAAGTATTTTAAAAAGATATCATGGTTCAAAATTTTTTTATTTTTTGTATGTCTTGTTTTTTGTGTACATACTTAATTTAGATTATAAAATACGTTGTTAATTCTTTCTCTTACAAACTTTAATTTGTCTGTGTATACATGTATGTCAGTTTATTCGATCAAAAAAAATTGTTCCTTCTTTTTTCAGCTTTTACCATTTGTGAATATAGTTTGACATAGATAATAAAAAAATGTTTTCATACTTTACACTGACTTCACTTAATATGTACATGTATATATTTGTGTAAATTTTAAACCATTATTCTTTTTTTTTCAGATTTTACTTAATATACGTATATATATCTTTATCATATTATGTTGTTTGTTTACTGAGATCTTTTGTATTATGTTATGCTTAATATAAATATATCTATAGTATTATACTAAAGAAAATGATAAATAATAGGTTTGAATTTTCAATATATTGTCTTAATATGCATGAAAATGTGTGATAAACCACACATTAAGACCAAGATAACTGACGTGCCCATTATACAATAGATATTTTTGCACAATATAAATTAAGTTCGCCAAAACCACAACCTGTTTTATTAAATAAGATTATTTCGCCGAACCGGTACAATAGTTCGACGAAACCACTCTCACCCATTCCTGCACCCTCACCCCCCCCCCCCCCCAACTCACACACCTAAAGCTTTCAAACTTTTTTATCATTTTTCAAACAGCTCATTTAAAAATATGACATGGTTCCCATAAGGGATTTTACAAAAATTGTTAAAAGATAGATCTATACAAACAATAATTTAACTAACATTTAATATTATCTTGAATTCTTGGTCGCGAAAACAAAGTAAACAATGTATTTAAACATATTTAGCAAATGACCACGCACAAAAAGTTGATACAATAAATACCTTAAAATCTTAATTGTCTCCTATATAAGAATTTAACGATGACATTGAAAGCCTTACCAGATTTCTGGCTAATATCCTCTCCGGAAATAACTTCCTGGTTTTTGTCTGCCATTTTATTTACAGCTTATATCATGCAGAAATCACAAATTGGATAAGTAATCTATATTCTCACCTCTTTTAAAATAACCGGTATAATATAATAAATAAATAATTACACGTTCAGTTCTTCATTTGTTGACCATCTGACAAAAGTTTTTTTTCATTCAAAATATTTTCTTCTTTTAAGACATAAGCGATGTGACAAAGTGAAAGTAGATTTTGCAAGTCATCAATAGGGATTGTTGACAAAGCTTTGATAATTTGTAGTGTCATTTTCTGATCATGGCTTCGTATTTCGATGAACATGATTGTGAACCTCTAGCTGATGGACAACAGCCTAATCATCTACTGCACATGGCCAGGTATGTATCGATGTTTTTTGTCCAACTTACTAGATTACATGTAGTTTGCTAAAATCTAAACAGTCTAAAATTGCCTGTATCAGGTATGTAAGTATTTTTTAAGTTTATCCTGTGAATCAAATTTATTATTGATACATAAATAAAGTTTTTTATATATAAAATTTTTTGACTTAATGTAGTCATATCAAACATTACATTGTTCTTTATAAAATCTAAGTAATGCTGCTGGAACAAAAATATCTAAGGTAGACAATACAGACATCCCAGCAAACACCCGACGTTGACACAACGTTGAATCAACGTTGAATTTTGGTCGCGACGTCGGTGACCTTCATACAACGTCAAACCGACGTTGAATTTCCGACGTCTAACAGACGCTTCATTTTGACGTCGACTCGACGTCGGGTTTTGGTCGGTAATCTGACAATAGGTGAATTTAATTTATGAAACCATGAATATATATAAATGAAAGTATAAACAGTGAGAATTTTAAGTTTAAGTTTAGAAAGGGAACATTATATATTTATTTTCTCCATCAAAACAGCAGTATCACGTGGGTGGCTAACGTACGATATTCGATAGGTGGCGCTCGGTAAACGGATAGTCGCAGATCAGTATGAAATATATTTGCTCTATTTTCGTTTTAAATAATATCTTATCTCCTCGAATTAGTCTAAGAAGTGTTTATATAATTTTACAAATTGAAAATGTTATCAAATTTTGAGGGGCTCAATTTTATAGTGGTAAATAATTTAGTAAAAATTCGAATTTGCCGACTTATTTCGGATTTGGAAATTCAATTGTATTGGCGGAAAAAAAATAACGGCGGGTTTGACAGACAAAGTTATATATTCCAAACAAAAGAAAAAAGGTAGGCAAAAACGTTATATATTGTTTTTCAATGCTTATTTACCGCATGTTTTGCATGGATTCGATGGTTATTTGATCATTGTAATGTTTGACTGGTAAAAACGTAATGTCACGTGATTTCGCGAGAATAAATAATTTTGTTTCCTGGTGAATGTGTAACGTAAGAACCACTTTAAATATCATTTGCTTAAAGAACAGTCTGTATAATCGGATCATTTTTTCCCAACACCTTTATCTTTCCATGCCAAAATAAAATGCACAATCAATGGTAGGATTGAAATCAATATAAAGTTAAATGCAGTACGTTATTATTCAAATCTGGTAAATCAGATTTCCTCTTATTTCTTATCAAACATGAATTTCCCTTATATGAGGGGCCAGTCATTTACACATGTATCAGATGCAGTTTGATTTTGATATCTGTGTAGTTGTTAAATTACTCGTTTGTTAATTGAAGTATTTTACCCATACTGTAAGCATACATGTGTTTCTTATATTATGATAATGATTCATGACATTTTGATACATGTAAATGATACGACTTTGGTAAGATTTATTTGAAAAGCGCATTGTTTTTGACTAGCTATATTTTTTATTAATGTAATCAAATAACATATTATCAATCAGAAAACACATTATCATATTTATAAAATCAATAAAAGTAATAGTTTGTTTAATTAGCCTGCTTATCTCAACAAAGTTTGTATGCTCGTATTCATAAAACGTTTGTAACACTAAGCCAGTCTGTCCTATATACACTTACAAGTCAGATCGGATCATGCTGGGCAGAGATGATATCTATAAAAATGACAGTAACATGTGAATTTCTTTGATGTTGTTTTTTTTGAGGCATTTGTATAAATTACATTTATTATATAAAAAATAACAATATCAATTTTTGCGGGAGTAGAATTAATTCGGTATTTGTTATGTCAGTTTTTCATGCCCTTATGAGTTACATTTTGTAACTATGATTAATAGTAATTGGATTTTGCCTATTGTATTAGGACAAACATCCTTCTACCCACATGGTTAAATTTCTAAAACAATAATAATTTCGTCTTTCAGATTGTGAAAAATTAGTGATAATTCAACAATCTGTCAAAAGTTCAGGAGGAAGATGAAAATATTAAGAGGAAAAAAAAATGAAAACCTACCAAGATTTTGTGACAGGTATATTTCAAAATATTATAGAAAATACAGGGATCTTATTACCCTTGGATTTTATAATGAAATTCATGAAGCCATTTAATATCAAAAATCAATAGATATATACAGTAGGTACACGAAACTACATTGGGTTTAAAACTAAATTAAAAATAATAAGTGTCTTTTTTAAGTAGTTGGAGAGTTTTATTAGAATTTTTTTAATTACGAAGTATAATTACAATGTATGTAAAAGTGATTTATTTCTTGCACTTGTAACTGATTATTTTATTTTTTTAAATGATGAGATCTCAGGTTGGCGACCAGTAATGATACGCTTAAAGTATGCCCCCAGATCGACATAAAGTGGAGGAGGAGAAAGAAGAATACTAATTGAAGATACATGAAACATTGCCCTATTGAATAGTTATAACAAATATTCAAAATATTGTTCCATTTAACATTCAGATCTAAGATCAGTTATAAAGTACAAAGACAAAATATACAAGTGAGTTGGATAGATGACTGGAAAATCCCAAACTCAGGGTGATCAGTTCAGTTGTGATATAAGAAAAAAAACACATGCATCGATGTTTACTATACAAAATGGGGGTCAAAGTGTTAATATTCAAGAAGGATTTTTGTTTATCTTATTTCTAAACATGCTTAATTAATACGTGAAGCGTTATTAAAGTACATACCCGTCAAATTTAACTAGTTTCAAAAAATATTATGTAAAATCTTGCATTTGTTATAGTACCACATTTCTTGTTTTTTACTTGTGATTCCGAGTATAAAATAAATTGCTAAAATCATAAGAATGCTTATTTATTAACCCTATTAAAGAGCTTTAAAATGAAAAAAATCATATTCCTAAAGTTTTAAATGAGGTTAAATCATTGTCAGATAAGGTTGGAATATGGTCAGATAATGGTCAGAATAGGTTGGATTATGGTCAGAAAAGGTTGGATTATGTCCAAATAATGGTCAGAAAAGGTTGGATCATGGTCAGATAATGGTCAGAAAAGGTTGGATTATGGTCAGAAAAGGTTGGATAAAGGTCATTTTATGACGTTGTATAGACGTCGGTTTCTGACGTCTAAAAAACTTTCAAATCCAACCTTCTGCCAACGTATACCCAACGTCAGGGTCTAACGTCAGTACAACGTTGGTACAACGTCTTTTGTTTGCTGGGATGTATATAAATTGCAAATTCTTCCTTTCTCCAAAAATTCACATTCTTTTACCAATAAACCTTTTAAATTACCATATAGATCTTAAGTAATATGAAATTAGGCAAAGCCTATGAACGGGGAAGTCGTTAAAAATTCCTTTAATTCTTTCCGTTTTAAAGGTGTCATTCGGTATTAACATGCAACGCTTCTTTTTCACTCGGAACACTCGAACGATTATTATTTAAATCCGAAAAAAGTTTGAGATTTGGTCCGTTATAGGAATACCCGCGCGAAATACTATTCATCATTAAGTTACATTGTAAATGGCGGCGCCCCACTTAGAACTGACACTGAAAATTTCATTGAAATAGGTATAGAATTCTATTATTTTTTAATTTGTTTTTTTATTTGCATTTTCTTTTTAAAATAATACACGTGTAAGTTCTATAGCCGGGCCCAATGCCAAAGCCCGGACCCGCTTCGCGGGCCCGGTCTTTGAGTTCCCCGTATAAACATGGAAATGCAAGAAAAGTAATGATATGTTGTAACAGTAATCATTACCAGTAATATATTATTATGGATCAAGTTGACCTGTGCCAAGTTGGGCCAAGTTGACCCGGATTCTATCTATGATATCTATCCCATCCCATGTCTATGGCCCATCCCATTCTCCATGCCATCCCCATCCATTCTATCCCATCTATCTATGTCAACCCCCTCACAGGGATGTAAACATGCCTGCACTGAACTGCTCTGGGGTAGGGAGTAGGGCAAATGCAGGGGGTAGGTGGTTCCAGTGGTATACAGTCCTAGGAAAGAAGGAGAGTTTATAGTAGTCTGAAGTTGCTGTGAATAACCTATAGGCTATTACACGGGATGGCCATGGCGTGATGTTCAGGAGAGGCATGTCATGTATTCTTCTATTGGGATAGCAACCCGACCATAGTGAATCTTATAGAAAAGGGATAACCTAGAATCTATATGTTTTCGAAGCTGAAGGGAGTGAAGCATGTCTGTTGTGCTAGAGGTCTGACCATAATCTAGCTTATCCAGCTGGGGCTGCTCTTATTTGGACATTTTCGATTTTGGGATCTATTTGTATTTTGGGTGTTGGGGTATTCCATATTTAGATGATAGCCCTTTTATGAGGGGGATGAACCCTGTTTGTTTCATCTTTTCAGTAGTATGCCACACTTCCAGTCCAGATGAATACAAAATATTTACAATAGAAAAATGTACTAGTCTAAGACTTTAAGAAAAATAAAAAGGGTTAAAAGATTCAATGATTCCAGTATTTACATTTTGTATGTGATTAATGACTGGTTTTGCAGTATTTATCACCAAATTTCTACTGTGTGACTAAGATTCAAGTAATAATATACATGTTGAACTCGGTATGTATCACCATGTTTCTACAGAGTGGCTAACGCAGTATGGCCTTTTTCTAATTCTTGCATATTTCTTTATCTCTTTTTTGGCAAATTACCTGGATTGTAAGTGCTGTTTGCAATGTGTTAATTACTTATTTTGTTCACTTCATAGTAAATACTTGTA